CTTTTGCGTGTCGGTCTTCTTTGATCCTGATTCGGGAAAATGTCATTCCGTTACGATTCTAACAAAACTTTAATGGCGCATAAATCACGTGATCGTTTTTAATGATGCGTATTTTCGCGCGGAAACACGATGGTTATCCGTGTTTTCACGTGTACACGCATCGAGAATCAGTTAGGTTGATCAGATTTCTCCTAAACTTGTTTTACCTGTTCCACATGGCGAGAATTCCTTTTGCGTTATTCGATTTGGAAGAGTCGATTGAAAAATAAAACGAAATAGATTATTGGTAATTGCTGGTACATAATGAAGAAATAATTAAAAGTATTTTAGAATAAATCTCAAAAGCAAAAATCAAGGTATAAATAATGAATCATTTGCAGCCAAATTAAGGATCATACATTTTATTACATTAATAGTCAAGGGACCGTAAAGGGAGGATAACAATAAATTATACTTCAAGAACTAAAGCTTTCAACGTGAAACAATCACCGTGATATTAAAAACTATATTGCGCCAATTTTTTTTTAAATATTTATTAAAATTACAATCAATTCTCGCGTTGAGAATTTTCAGTAATTTTTCTAGCGTGGCGCAGTAACATGGCTAATTATTTATAATAAGTTAATACTTATTATAGATAAGTTTAATTTGTACGTAAGTATTGTAAATAAATAAATGTTACTTAATTTAAATAACTAGTTGAATCTATCGTTTAGGTCTAGCGGGTAGTGCTTCTTCAGCCTGCGGATCTGGTCCGTCGTATCAAGTAGTCCAGTGATTAGGGGGTTTCGGTGTTTGTTAACTCATTTGCTATATCTGTCGCTATATTATGTCGCCAATTTTATTAAAGAAATATAATGGTATCCCGCTGGGGATAGCCATCCACATTTTATTTTATTAAAATTAATTAAGCTAGAAAAATTTACCGAATGTTCGGCTGAAAAAATTGTAAAGTACAAATTAAATAATAAAAAAATATACATGTATACAATGAGAAACGAAGAACACGGGGGAAAATGAAGAAACGAACTCGGCAACTTTCCATCCGCACTAGCCATGACGCGAGCGGAACGCAACGATCCGCTCACGATCTCGCAATTAACGATTAATTAAATGTAATGACTACACCGTGAGCGTGACTGATGAACGAACGAAACAATGTCTGGCCTTGTTGATGGCCCTTGCGAACGAACGAACGATCGCGTAGGTGCGTACGTCGTGTTCGCGTTTCGCGACCCTGTAACCGCACTCCCGTGATGAAAGTTCTATCGTGGGCCCTTAGATTGATGGTCCGTTCACGAATGTACTCGGCAATGCGGATCGTTGAGTTACATCCGCGTGTGATCGTTAATAATCCCCGTGGAATCATTTGGCTCTTGAAAAATCGAAAGAAATTCGTCCATCTTTTAACTATCACAGAAAAATATTTTATTCCATGCGAACCTATATTTCTGACAGAAAAATGTATATTTATACATAAAATATTTATAGAAATTTGGAATATTTAATTTATTAGTTAAAAAAACACCACACAACCGAAATGCAGAACGAAAGGGAAACTAGAAGAAAATTTGTAGATCTTCTAACATTTATAGAGTAAGATTTTATTTCATGTAACGCCATATCCAATTTGTGAATTAAGAGAATGTGGTTCTTAAATACAAAGCATTTTAAACGATTTCAATAATGAAACGAATGACGTCATCCGGCATAAATGACACGCTTCGTTCGTGACTTCTAATAAAAATGATCCCTGAACTGGGTCCAGAATGCACGGACCAAGTTACTCGTGTTCGTGGCGCACTCCGATCGTCCGGTAACACAAGAGGATCGATGTGTGCGCCGGAGGAACGGGTCGTGCTGTTAGTAAGCGACAGAAGGTGGATGGAAAGCATCATTCAGATGTACCTCCTAAGTGCACGAAGGAGCCACGAGTCCGGCTTTATGATAGTTATTAATATCAAATAGTCAGCCACCGTGCCCATTATGGACATAATGGGACGCCATTTTTTGCCGCGACAATGAGGCACCCCGTTAAACACTCGATGTGTTTGCATTATTCACGCGGATGATTAAGCTCCGTTAATATATCCAATGGCAGTGAACGCCACGAAACAAGAAGATACGTGGAACGCGAAACAGAACTGATTTTTATCCAATAAGGATTTTCAAATTATTAGAAGAATTATTATTAATTACTGAAAATTCTCAACGCGAGAATTGATTGTAATTTCAACAAATAAATAAATAAAAAAAAAATTATTAGAAGATATTTAAGTGCAAGTATTTTTGACATTGTAAAGGGAGAAATTGTTCCTATTGTAATATATTCTGTCCTTACTGTTACAATATTTTCTAGTATATACTAGGCTTGTTAAGGTACGTGCCCTAAATGGCCTGGGAAACCAGATAAGGAAGTTTTTGTATTACGGAAACAGGTAGCAGAGGAACAATGGTGGTAGGTTTAACACTATTCGTATTGTCCCTGAAACAATGCTGTAGACATAAACGCTGATGCACCAGGAGGAGCATAAAACAGGTATTGCCAATAAATGACAATATTATGGAATTATTATATAATATTATATATATTATATAATATTATTATATTATATTTTTATATTAAAAATAAATCTTCTAAATCTTCTAAATTAGTAGAAACTGGCAATAAACTTTATGTACTAGTCGTTAACTTAGTTCCTAGTTCGTTTGTTTTCAGTCTATGATAATTAGGCGAACAGAAGCGTCAACAGACAGACAAACTGAACAGAATGTTTGTGTTTCTGATTTGTAAACTTTGTCCAAGAACAATGATGAAACCAGTATTTGATCATGCAATGGTTAGTTTAACCCAAGTTAAATGCTCTCCGGATCCGTTGACTTATATTATGCCAGCTATTAAAGATTCGAAACCTTACCCTACGATAGATAAATATGCCCAATGGATTTTCAGGATTATCATTATTAGTTTTGACCGTTCGGAAAATTGCTACAAATCAGGACCTTTAATCTGAATCCTAAGTAGGTAATACTTATTTCCAAAGTAACCTGTTCCTTGAAGTTTCTACAGTTCTCTTAGATTTTATTATTATTAAGTACCCATCGATTATATTCAACGAAGAACTTCGTCATACTTGATTTTTCCGATTTTACCAAATCGATTCGCTTGGAGAGAGATATTAAAGAAGGAGAATGTCGGATAAAATAGAAGGAATGTGAAGACTAGCTGAAAGAATTTCGACGCTGAAATATCGAAGTATTTAATTATAAGGCTCGAACACGCGAGCTTCCGCGTCCCAACTCGCGAGGATATTACGCGATACCCGGAAGCGCGAAGAAAAGCTGGAAACACCGGTGCGTCTGGTGTAATTAATCGACGTTGCAAATAAGTAAAGTCGGTTAATTGGATAAACGAACGAAGGAGGATGGAGCGTCGCGCGATTACGCGTGCATACAATTTTCGAGATGGAGGTTAAACGTTGAACGAGAAGATTTCCTTCTCGTCTCTCCGTGATAATTTATATACGAGTGGTTCGCGTGACTCGTCTCCTTCCTGGCCGGCTTGATATTTTTCCACTAATCATGCAGATACGCAAACTCACACGAATGCGCGTCTCGCTCCGCAATTAGAATCGAGCTTCGCTCCTGCCCTTCGAGGGTGAAAAAACTGGCTGAATTACCGATCGAACAGACATATGACAAGGTTTGGGAAATATTGTGATACGCGTTAACAAATAGCTTCAAAAAGAAGCAATAGGATTACAGATTATGCTTGCCGGATAGTCGATTCCAGACCATCCGTGTCGTAATCTAAAGATTAAGATTATACGAGCCAACAATGTTTCACTAAAAGATCTGTTTAAGAATCATGACACTCAAAAATGCTCGAAAATTCACAAAATATTGTCCATCCAAGTTGTCTTTCATAGTCAGAGACCTTTCTTCAAATAACAAGTGCATCACGATCGAAATATACGAAATTGGAGTAAGGGGCGATTTATGAAAAATCGCGTATTCAGAAATAGCCAGTATCGAAACTACGAAACTTTGCAAATACTGAAAAATTAATAAAATAAAAGTCTCTAACAACCACCGTATTAAAACTCCCACGCCCAACTCCTGAAACTCCTTCGTCCAAAATCGCAAGATCGCAGCGACCCAAAATATCCGCAACCATTCGAAGAACCTCTAAAACGTGTTCCACGCGGAAGATCATCGAGCGTCGAGGTCGCGACGTCCCTGATGTCATCCTCCCACGATAGGCGTGCTCAAGAAGGCGGAGTTCCGACATGCGCTTTGCCGTGTTTCCCGCCCATGGAAACCGGCTGGTTCGGTGAGAGGCCAAAGTGAAGCAGCAGGCCTCCAATTGCCAGTGATGCGATCGTCGCCAATGGAACGCTGGTATCCACCAGAGAACGTCCGCCACTGGCGGAGCTTGTGCTTGCATCCACCGTATATCGGGTGGCTTTCAGTGGGGGTAGGGGGTGTTTCCAACGAGCAGGCATCCGAGGATACACGAACTCTACCGTGCGGTCGTTTCCAAGTACTGAAGCGAGAACGAAGCCAAAGAGAAAGAGAGACGGTCTCGGCGTGCAGGACGATGAAGAGAGAAGAAGGGAAGGACGGGACAAGGAGAGAGGGCAAGTTCGTAAATGCCGAAATCGGCCGAGCTGCTCCTCGGCGGGAGCCCAGTGCCGACTCTCAGTCCCGCTGTGAACGCAGCAAGGAACGCAACGGATGTTTCACCCTCTATGTTTGGACGCGTTTTGAAGACGTACACGCGAATCGTGTTGTTAGTCAGAGTGTACTCGTCCTCCTCCGTGGTAGTCTAAAGATGCATGAAAATACGCTCGGTGTTGGTCGAAGAACCACTTCGACGTGAGTGAAACGGAGCAAGACTGTCACACGAGGAAACTCGTGTTTGTCCCTGCAAGCGC